ACAGTTTTTGAGCAAGAATTGAACAGCTATTTGTCTAAAATGGACAATATGTGGTAATTAGTATCTACCTTATACAAGAAACTGCTACAAATCAACAAGAAAAACATAATCTCCAGTAGATAAGTGATTAATTTATAGAACAGGAAACTTAAATAGTGAATATAGCATTTGTGCAGCTGCTCAAAGTCACCACTAATCACAAAAACATTAAAACAACAAAGTAGTGGTAGTTTGCAGGTGTAAAATTCCTGAGTGGCTCAGAGGCTTTGCATTCCGTCCGCTCTGTCTAAACTGGAACTCAATTGAGTTTTCACAGAGCAGGGAGTCATGACTGTGGGGATGATTCTTTGCATTTGTCAAAACTCATACAACCATAAATCAAAAAAAATGAATTTTACTCTTTACTAATTTAAAAAGAAACCCCAGATTTGTGCTGGGGAAGGAGGTAGAGACCCAAATAAAATACAAATTGCAGCAACAACCTTAACTGTATTAGTAATGAATGGCAGAGCTACACAGAGGGGAGTGGGCAGGAAACACTCACCCTAACCTACTTCAGAAAACAATGGTTTTGATTAAATATTATAAGGCAAAAAGATAAAAAAGACCCTCCCCCAACTGTACTTTTATTAGTAAATTTGTTTCCATAGGGATATGGGTTAACAATTCTGAAATTCATGTATGCTAAGGTTGAACAAATAAGGGAATATACTATAAATGTCTTTTATGTTTTCTCGCTAAGAAAGAAGTTATGTCAAAATGTCATAATAAACTCTGTGGTGCTGGATTGTAATCAGAGGTATGATTTGAAGTCAAGTTGCTAATATATTTAAGTGCAGGTAGATAGCAAAGTAAACACACATGTGTCGGTACCCGTGGGTTAGTATTTCCCAGTGCTGTCTGCTAAAAGGGCCTCAATGCAATGACACCCTGATGGCAAGGAACATATCTACCTCTCAGTTCTTGGTTTTTAAATGTCATTCTCTAAGAAAACAAAGAGTGAGAGTTTCTGGAGAAAGAATTGATTCCAGCCTGGAGCAGGGAAAATACAAGATGAGTTTGGAGTGTCTGGTAGTGCTTAAAAGTAAGGGAAGTACTCAAGAAAGGAGGAACACACGTCCAGTGGCCATAGATGCCAGTCCGAAAGAGTTCTCGGTGGTAGTATTGGATTTGGATGCATGTGAGGGAAAAAAAGATAATGATAGTACTGGATACTAATCCATATAATGTAATAAAAATCCAGTAGTCTATACTGATTTAAATAAATTACTGAAAAAATACAGTAGAACTTCCATTGTTGACCACCTTCCGACATTGACTGCTTCCTTAAGTTGACCTAATGTGTATTGACCAGACATGCACCAGATGTACACATCAGTACAAGAGGCCTAGTTCCTTAGGTTGACCACCTCCATATGTCAACCGCTTTATTATAGTTCCTTAGGTGGTCAACTTACAGGTGCTCTCCTTACAAATGCAGGAGAAAGAGCAGCTCTTCCTTACAGAAGAATTCTAATTAATAATTGTAAAAGAAATGAGAAAAATAGGAAATCACCATAAGAATACCAGAATAAAAATTTATCAGCTGGGCACAGTGGGAGATGCCTGTAATCCCAGAACTTTGGAAGGCCAGTGCGGAAGCATCACAAACTTTGAGGACAGCCCCCTTCTCTCCTTCTCCATTGCCATCACTGGCTAATCTGCTCTGTTCTCATCCCATTACATATCATTTCATTTGTCCCACAGGACTGTCCTGCAAATTTAAAGTTTAGCAGGTGTCTTGGAGATTGTCCAGTGTCTAATCCCTTCTTATTTCAGAAGATACTGAAGGCTATAGAGATTGAATGATGCGACCAAAATCATTCAGCTAGCAAGTAGAGGCCCAAGAGTTTACCACAAAAGGCTTAGGGAAAGAGAGATCTGAGAGTCACTTGTGTTTGGGGGCCTGGGAAACAAAGTGAAAACCTGAACTGAGCAGAGGAATGTTCTCTGGACTCTGTGCTTTGTGCCGAGCTAAACTGAGTTCCAGATCAGACAGAACAGCTGGAACGCAAAGACTTCAAACACCTCAAGAATTGCGCAGCTATGGGTGGCACTCCAGACAGGGAACATGAATGTCACAGGCCAGTAAGTGGCAGCCACCATAGTATGAGACACATTTTAAAAAATACAGTTTCTAAGTACATGAGTGATACTTTCTGGGGAAATAGGTAGAAAAGCTTCTGAACAAAACCGTGATTGACCGACAAACGTCAGCACAACACCAGTGATACCTTTTTGTCCTCATTAGCTAACGAAGCCTGGCAGATGAAGAGGAAAGAAACAATGTGACAAGTACAATATCAGAGCTCTTCCCGGGACTTCCAGGAGAAGCCGGGTGGAGAAAGGTGAAGAAGCCCCGCCTCCTGCAGCAGCCGGGCCCTAAGTCTACCCGACCCAAGGAGCTGACTCTAAGGCACCGAGTGCATCCAGCTTTCCAAACTCCACACTACGTGTTCCATGCTGGGCCACGTGATTCTTTGTTGCAGGCAATATGCAATATTTAGAGCATCCTTGGCCTCGACCTCCAGATGACAGTACTAATCTCACTCCTAACTGTGACAAAACTAAAAATACCTGTAGACATCATCGCCACATACTACTAAAGGAGACAGACTCTCCCCTGGTTACAAATCACTGAGGTAGAGAGGACTGACAAAGGGGCCTTCTCTGCAGATGATACAAATGAGGCACAAAGGGGGAATAATAAGCAACTTAATATCACTAGCAGGGTGACACCCAGCTAGAAAGAGAAGAGAGAAGAGGCTCCAGGCAGGAGCCACTCCAGAGAATCTTGAATAGTATATTAAGCTGAATTGTTACCATTTAGCTCTCCAGGTCTCCCCTCCCTGCTCTGAGGCTGACTCATGGCTGGCCTCACGCAGACTGTCTTGTCCTTTGACCAATGGGAGGCACTACGAAGAGATTGGAGAGTGGAAGAAGACAGAGCTTCGGAGCTTATTCCCAAGGCTCCGTCTGCTGCCTGTGGTTTGGCACAGGCTGGCTTCCCTACTCTTACAGCTCCCGCCCGTGACATCTTGGCACCCGTTCTCAGTAGGTTCTGGCTACACAGAACCTTCCTTCTACGGACCTGAGGTGGTAAAAACTTTATCCTGCTCCTAGTCCTGCATCACCTCACTGGGCCTTTTAGTTTCTTTTACCCTGCGGAAACCTCTGTAAATAGCTCCTTTTATTAGTTTCTTTTCAGTTACATCTTTTTGAGGTTTGCATTTGTTCACTGCTGGAAAACGAATACAAAGCAAATGCTGTAGACTTTATCCTAGTGGAGCCCCTCAAGTTTTTAAATGTAGAATTAACAAGGTTAGTTCATCATTTAATACTTTTTCATCTGACAACCGTGGGCAGAATGGATTTCAGAGGCAAAAATAGTTGCTTTAGAAACACTGGTGGAAGAGGAGGATTTAGCAGTATTCTAGGTAAGAAAGGGTGATTATCTGATCAAAATAAGAGTAATAGATGCAGAAAACAGATCATAGATTTAAGAATATTCAGGGGTTAAATTTCTCAGTCTGGGCAATTGATAGCATGTAGATGGCAAGGAAGAAGGGCTCGGGGTGAAGGCTAGGTTTCTAACTTAGGGAATAACCCACTGGTTGATTCTGCTTTAATCAACAGAACAGAAGCTCTGGAGATTCTGAACACAAACGCAGAACTTAATTCAAATATACCGGAGGAAAAGAATGCGTCATTTCTTGCATGGTTGAATCTGAGATCCCTGTGGGACCTCCAGGTGCTGATGTTCAGCAGGCTGCTGCGTTCGCAAGTCTGACGCCTGGGAAAGCCTCCGAACTTCCTACGCACATTGCAAACTCCTCAACTACAAATGGTTGTTGAAATGTTCAGACTGGCATTAAGGAACAGAGGTATTCAAGGAATGGGCTGAGAAAAGGCAGAAGAAAACAGAAGAGGAATGGACAAAGATGTACGAGAGCGTGCTGGGCCCAAGTACCGAGGGAGTCAAGAGTTGGAGGGAAGGGGTTATGTAGACCAGCTGCAGCCCGGGCTGCATTCCCCAATGCTTACAGCCCCTTCCCAGGCACGTCTTGGCACTGGTTTTCATTACGTTCTGGCTATACCATTCCTTCTACATATTCCTAATCTTTTAGCACCAGGGACTGGTTTCATGGAAGACAAGTTTTCCATGAATGGGGGGGAAAGGAAGGGATCTGACAAGAGGCAGAGCTCAGGCAGTGATGCCAAGCCTGGGAGCAGCTACAAATACAGATGAAGCCTGCCCACCTGCTCCTCTCCTGCTGTGCAGCCCGGTTCCTAACGACCACAGACCGGTACCAGCCCAAGGTCAGGGTTGGGGGCCACAGATCCAGACTGTCAGTTACAGAAATATCAAGTCATCAGGGTATGTTGCTCCAGGTCCAGTTAAAGGCTAAAATAATTGCTGTTGGCCTTGGTACTATTCTCACGGACTTGTTATAGGTATCAACAACATATTAATTGTCCTGCATAGTAACCAGTATGTGGTAGACATCTGCAATTTTTCAGTTTTCACAAGCATTTAAAAAAGTTCACACAATACATAAAGTACTGAATGTCAACTTTAAATATTAATAAGAAACTATATACATTTTATTATAATGTAAGATACCCATTTAAGTTAGAAAAAGTCAGAACAGTTATCTAGATAATAAAGACTATTGGTTCGGATGAACAAGTGGCCAGGCTAAGCAACACCTAATAGGCCCCAGACTTCCAGGTAAAGTTGGATCCTACTGAGTTAAACATCAGCATCAGCACCAGCTGAAGCTGAGGGAGCTCCTATCAAGCAAAAATTGGTGATCATTTTGTGGTAAAGTGTATGAGGCACAACCAGTTGGAAATTTGTCCAAAGATATAACAGTTCTAATTTTTTAAGACCTTCTAAGCAATACCAGTGTTCATATCCACAGGCTTGATAAAATCTGCAACACTTGAAGTGTATTTACCCTTTGATGTAAACTCAGCTGGCACACGTGCTCCTTGGGTATGCAGGGTTTCCCATCGGCTTTCCAAGAAGGCAGGCAGATGAGCAGATCCCAGGGGCCCAGAGCACCTAAAGGAAAAACATTGAAACATACATAACTTCTAATCAGATATATATTTTTTTCCTTTAGTATTTGACCAGGGCTGGGTTTGAACTTGCCACCTCCAGTATATGGGGACAGCACCCTACTTTTTTGAGCCACAGGCACTACCTATTAATCAGATATTTTAAAGGAACTACTTAGTTCTTCAGATTAAAGAATGCAGATATTTAAATTTCAACACAGAACTAACAGTGATTCTGAACACGTGTGAAAGAAAAAGTCAATGTTCAAAGTAACTAAAATTCAACTTCGAATTTAGTGGGTTTAGGCTAAAGTATAAATTATAGTTAGTACTGCATTCTATAGAAAGTGAAATTATCTGAAGATGCATTATAATATTTCCTTAAGAGATTAAAATTAGAATACTTGGAGTCACTACTTTTATAAATTTCTAAAGTCTTATTTGTAGATAGGGAAGAAAGAAGGTTGTAAAGTCTTTTAAGAAAGTTGGCTTGGTGTTTGTAGCTCAGTGGCTAGAGCACCGGCCACATACACCAGGGCTGGCAGGTTTGATTCCGGCCTCTGCCTGCCAAACAACAATGAGACCTACAAGAAAAAATAGCCAGGTGTTGTGCTGGGTTTCTATAGTTGAAGCTACTTGGGAGCCTGAGGCAAGAGAATCGCTTAAGCCCAAAGTTTGAGGTTGTGTGAGCTGTGAAGCTACAGCACTCTACCAAGGGCAGCAGCTTGAGATTCTCTCTCTCCAAAAAAAACAAAACAAAACAAAACAAAAAAAAATATATAGATAGATAGATAGATAGATATGAAAGTAGTAAAATCAAATAATGATAAGAAGTCAAAACATAAAATATTTTGTTCTGGGCTTTGCTATCCTCACTACTTTTCATAAATCTGAAAATCAAATAGACTTTTATAAGATTTCTTGGAAAGAAAAAATTGTACTAGGCAGTAAAAATGTAATGAAAATAAAAAAGGCAAATTTTGTGAAAAAGATTTTGTAATCTAGTTATAAACAGCAGAGTTGAATTCAAAATACTGTAGAGTATAACATGAACCAAAGCAAACGATATTTCAGCTCCTTCACCAAGGACAAAGCTCTTTACCAATAAATCATAGTAACTTCCCAAAATAATCTCAGAAAAGTACATTCTTATAAAATATCTTAACATTTTAAAATTACAATTTGTGTGTACACATGGGTTTATTTTTCCTTATTCTTTTTGATGCATGTACATATATGTATCAACTTGCCTTTCATATGATTAGTGCTTTAAAAATATTTGTTGAATGAATGAATGAATGAATCACTAGTCCCTGGTAGAATGATAAATACATTACCTCATGAAGAAACACACACACACACACACAAACCAGGTGAAGGATCTTTACAAAGAGAATTATGAAACCCTATGAAAAGAAATAGCAGACGACATTAACAAATGGAAGATCACACCATGCTCTTGGCTGGGAAAAATCAACATTGTCAAAATGTCTATTCTACCCAAAGAAATCTACAGATTCAATGCAATACCCTTTAAAATACCAACATTGTATTTTGAAGAACTAGAAAAAATAGTACTTTGTTTTGTATGAAACAGAATAAACCCCATGTAGCCAAGGCCATTCTTAGTAATAAAAACAAAGCTGGTGGCATCACCACACG